GTGCGCTGTGGGATTGAATACATCAGCTGGAGCGTCGGCGGTACTAGCCCATGGGTCGATTTGATCCATGAAGAAGAGCTGTTCTTTTTTTGAGAGCACCTTGTCCAGCGTACGGTTGAGCAGAGACTGGCTCGTTTCGAAGAAGGAAGGCCGGCTGGTCAGGTGAGGCAGACCAAATATGCCAGCAAATTTCTCGCTCGTGGTTGTGAACAGCATCGCACCTTCTCGAGGCCAATGGACTCCGTGCATCCTCATGTCGAACTGGCTGCCAGTACCCTCGACATCCTCCACGGTGATGGTCGCCGTGACCTCTCGCGCCCGAACCTCTGTTTCCAGTAGGACAAGCGGGTCGATGAACTCGGGTTCTGTGCTAGCCGCCTCGTCGTCCTCGATCCGCACAAGCATCGTGCCTTCTCGGCCTGTGACGTTTCGGCTCCACTCGAAAGCACCGCCTGCCCAGGTGATGTTGGGAGTGGCATCCGTCAGGTTGTAGTCGGATATCACTCGCGGCACGGAGCTGTTCTCGCGATGCCAGAGCCCATGGACGACGCCTGTTGCATTCTGCCATACGGGCTGCGCCGCTTCCGGGATGCCAATAGCGTTGAGGCTCCACTCGTCGCACTTTTGTCTAAACCGACCCAGATCGTCCCAAGCAAAGTTGTCCTTCTCGCGGAAGCCGGTGAGGTTTAGATATTTAGGATCCGTAGCGCTGCCATCGCTAACTTTCGGTACCGGATCGAAGTCGCCCCATCTCGTGCTGTTGAGAACGCCGTGGGCGACTCGCTGGCGGGCTAAGCGGTCCTTGATGATGTTCGGCCCTGCTATCAGAGGCGCATTGTCCGGGGTTGAGAATATCCAGAAGGTGAGGACGATCAAGAAGATGACGCGCACGCTGTCTTGCTGCGGCGGCATTCTATTCGCAAGGGCGCATGCTTAGTGCCCGGCTGGCATGGCTCGAGCGGCGCCGAATATCAAGATGACGTGTTGTGTGCTTTTGAAGCTGAAGCAATAAACGTGGCGTCGGCCGGTGGCTATTTGTCGTCGAGTGATGTGCTGTTGACCTTTCGGCGTCTTGGATTTTGTTGGGAGATGGAGACTGTCCTCGGGGTATGGGAGATGACGGGAGACCAGTTGCTGTTTTGATGCAACGCCAGGAGCTAAGACTTGAGGCCGAAGCTCACTGTCCGGGGTGGGGCTTCTGCATCATCCCTGGGCACAAGCCCGCGCCTCTCAGGGTCAACCGACGCAGGCCTGAGTGCTTCTAGCCACTGTCACCAACACCACAACTCTGAACCGTACTTGACTCGTGCGAAGCCTCCAGCAACAATTTAGGAGCATTACTGCTTGAAACTCTGCAAAGCTCTTCAGTTTAGTTGCAGCAACAGTCTCAGCACACGTTCACAACATTTCACAACAACATGCCTTCTCCCAAGCTTGAGTCGGCTGAGGAAGCGAAACCGGCGCCGGTTCAGGCAGAGGGCAGCGTACGAGATCCAAGTATGCCCCTCAAACCTTGCCAATGCTAACATCTTCAGCAGAGCACCGATGAGCTGACGGCCGTCGTGGAAGATCTGCTTAACTCGCTCTCCAACAAATTCACAAGTGCGACAAGTGAAATCTTTGCCAAGAGTAAGTGAATCTTCGCACCGTCTTTTATCGCTCTTGCTGTACTCCCAAAGCAGATTGCTGATCACCAGTGAACTTGTAGTGGACGAAATGTCAAGACGTTTGGACAACCTGGAAGCAGGTTTGAAGGCGAATCAAGACGCCAACAACAACAGTAATAACAACAACTCTCCGTCAAAGACATAGTCACGTGTGTGCTGCCACCACGGAGACATGAAGCAAGAGGGTGATTGGCGTTCAGGGTGTCATGTTAACATTATCGTAAGCTATTTGTACCGCAGCCGAGTGTGACCACAATAATCTACAAATTATCGTGATTCGTCACGAGGGTCCTTCTGCTTGCAATCCATTCTTCCAGTTTAGGTTGTAGTTTTCTACAACTCGTCCTTGCCGGTGACCTTGTCCACAGCAGCCTTGAGGTACTGCGCCAGGATGTTGGACTTGCTCTGAAGCTCGTCCAGCTTGGAGGGCGCAAGGCCGCCCTTCTTGATAAGGCCGTTCAGGCGCGCGGCCTCCTTGGCAACGAAGCCCTCGTTTTGGGACAACTTGTCGAAAACACGAATGTAGTACTGGGCGTACTTGTAAGCGGACTGCTCAGACAGCTCGCCAGCCGCACGCTTTGCCTCCTCGGCAAGCTCAGTCAGCTTGGAACCGTCGACTGCGAACCGATTGGCAATGTTGCTGAGCGCCTCAATGGTTCCGGCAGTGAGATCGAGACCACCGCCAGCGACACGGTGCGTGCCGGCCTTCTCGTTCAGGAAATCGATCAAGTCCTTCTCAGTACGCCCTCCAGAGTAGAGCTCGCCTTCCTTGGTACCCTTGGGGAAGTACTTGATAGTCGGGTACGAAGTGACACCCTGCGACTGAGCCGTGGCCCTGCTGTTGTCCGCCTCGGCATCAACCTTGGCAATAACGACATCGTCCTCGTTGACAAAATCGCGGGCAAGAGTTTCCCATGTGGGGGCGAGGGTCTTGCAGTCTGGAGTGCTTGTTAGTATCGTTAGGCACCATGCTGGCAGCTAGGCTTGTTGACTTACGTCCGCACCAAGGGGCGGTGAAGGCAACGAGGACGTTCTTGTCGCCACCAACAGTCTTGGAGAAGGTCTTGTCTGTCAGGAAGTTGACCTCGCTAGGCAACTCGAGCTTTCTCTTGGTCTTGACACCAGAGTTCTCGGTGACGAACTTGGTCAAGCTCTCGAGATCCCGACCGCCCTTATACTCTTGAGGCTCCTTGCTCTTGCCGTCGAACCATTTAAGGGTGGGGAAACCCTGGACGCCAAACTTGCGACCAAGGGACTTCTCGGCATCGGCATCGACCTTGGCGATCTGGACGTCTTTTGAGCTGGCAAAGGACTGAGCGAGCTCCTCGTAGACGGGGGCAAGAGTCTTGCAGTGGCCACACCAAGGAGCGAAGAACTCGACGAGGGTGGGCTTGCCAGACTCGAAGACAACCTTGTCGAAGTTTTCGGGGATCAGATCGAGGACAGCGGATCCGGCGGCCGCAACGGCCACGAGGCCAGAGAGCACGAAGCTCTTGAGCAGAACCATTATGTCGTAATGCAAGCTCGGTCGTGAGTTTGCAAGCAGAGCTGTGTCGAGTTTGTATGTTCGCAGTAGCCTTGATAAAGATCAAAGGCCTTTTCCGGTATGTTTAGGAAACAGTAAAGAAGCCACTTTACCCGTCTAACTGGGTCAGACAGTCTGGGGCCAGTCTCGGCCGTGCATAGCTTAGCTCCAGTAACCAGTTGTTAGCTTTCGCCCCTCCTCATGACGCTCCTTTGACCCGCCGACCAAGCTTATCAAGCAGGATTGAGAAGCCCCTGGTTCCCCACCTCTGGAGTCTAGGAACTTAGCCTGGCTGAAGCGCAACTGTGGCACAGCAATGGGCCTCAGCCACACATGACCAGAGTTCTAAGCGACCCACCACACAAAATTTCCAGTGCAGCCAAAATCCACAGGCGCAGCGCCGTTTTGGAGCGTCGGTACGCATCTCAAGAAACTCTCGCCCCCCAGTCAGTCCGCCAGCCAGATCAGCCAGCACAATACATCCGTGACAACAACCCGTCATCCCCGCAACCGCAATCATGTCTCACGAATCCGTCTGGAACTCGCGCCCGAGGAGCTACGGCAAGGGCGCCCGTGGCTGGTACGTTTAGCCCGCACACGAAAATCCCCCGATCGATCACGACGGAATCTGGCTCGAAAGATATGGTCGGACAGGCTATCGGAAGAATTACTGGAGGAATGTTTTGTGCTGATTGTTTCGTCTTCACTGCTATCTAGCCGTGTCTGCACCCACAAGGCCGGTCTCATCCGCAAGTACGGTCTCGACATCTGCCGTCAGTGCTTCCGTGAGAAGTCCACCGACATTGGCTTCGTCAAGGTACGATATATTCTCTAGATACACTCTGCGGAAAGGCTCTTCAAAATTCGCGATTTCGAGACGGCCCATCAAAGACGACGACAAAGCAAGCTAGAAGAGGGGGTGACGGCCACTATCACACGACTCTGCGCAGTCCATACTAACCGAACCTCTCACAATATAGCACCGATAAATCATTCACACTGGCACTGTCGCACTAGTCTTCTACCCACGGACGTTCTCTCTCTTCGCCAGGCATCATTACGCGCGAACTTGCGAATATGGAGTTGTCGGTTTATACATCAGGAAAAGGGGTTCATCATCGACCCTAATGGCATGGGCCAAGGGGGGCTTGCGAGGGGAAAGGAAAAGCCGGGTCGCTAGAGTCGTTTAGATCACCTCGACACGGTTCATGAAATTTCAAATGACAAAGAACAAAAACACCATACATACGCCTCGTTCTCTACATGGTGACCTAGTTCGGTCTTTGGTTGTGATCCCGGACCCTCTGCCCTATGGACTCGGGAGCATATGGTTGGTTGTATCTGGCGGAACGGGTGTCACAACACGTCGGGATACCGGGAGGGTCTTCCACACTGGGAGATATCTGGCTCAGCGGGAGACTAATTGGCTGTACAGTGATCCACGACTGATTTGTGCTGTTCTTGGGCTCTCATTTGAGGTTGTGGGTTTTGCCGGTGGTTTATGGACAAGCTGGGCATGATCCTTCGCAGGGAGATATGTTCCAAAGTCCTATGTGGCGCTTACACGTGTTCATCGTTTGGCATGTCGCGACGCCAACAATACTTATTGAGGCCTCGCAAGACAACGTAATGTGAGAGAGTCACTATGTCTGAGCTGGCGTCGCATTCTTGAAGTGAGCTGGTTTCACGTGTCAACATGGCACCCGCGAAGGCAAGCAGGCCTCTTCCCAGTCCCACGGAACACTTCAGACTTGAAGCAAAAGCTAAACCTCCAAGCTTCCTACAGCCTGGGAAGGAACAAAAAGAGACTCCGAATAGGGGAATCGAACCCCTGGCTTGACGGGTCAGAGTCCTCAGGTGAGGAGCAGTGAGAGCGTCAAATGTTAGCCACTACACCAATTCGGATATGTTCGATGAAGCAGCCGTTCCTTATTCCATCATATACGCAGGTCACTTGAGGTGTCAAGTGTAAATCAGAGTTCCACCCCTTCATCCTTCCGAGCTTGTGCTTTGACAATGGCAGCACTCGCCTCTCTTCGGGTGTGTTAGAATCATCGTATCGCGAATATGAAAAATTCATGATATTGGTGCGACATCGCCGATGCATACCCGGACAGCGTCCCAGAAGACGTCGTCAGCTCCAAGGGTTTTTGCATGCAAACACGGAGTATCACAGTAGCTGCATGCACCGCATCACACAGCTGCAGCTCTAGCCCCTCGGCTTCGGCGTGGCTTTCCAGATAACGCGCCTCTCTTCTTACAGGGGTTCTTTGCCAACGGCTTCCCTCGCACAATCCGGCTATGTCGGCGATGATGGGGGCAAAAGAACTTGCGACCTTAGGCCACTAACGCAGGCGGTCACATTCCAGCCGCACCTGACCAAGGCGAATATCCGAACCGCCGAGGTTGGGATGCCGCCAACCGGAATGCCCAGATGCAAGATTACCTTGGGGGACAGCCTGGTTCTCTTGGCTTTATTCCTCTCGGGCATTTTGCGATAGCCAACAGCACAAGAACCATCCAGACGAGGAAGGTCATCAGCCCGGTCAGCAAGGGTGGGGGAGGTAACCCTGGCAGCCACGGGCGCGGGCCGAGAAGGTGGTGGGATGACAGACGCACACTCTCTTCACATTTCCACGACACTGCCATCCTTGATGGCTTCGCCTCCGTGTGTACGGAAATTTTCTCCAGCTCCATCCACGGCAATTCCGAGCATGTGATTTTTGTAAGAGAAGTCCATCTTTTCTGGGGGGATTTAAATCTGGCAACTTCGTGCTGAGTCGTGAGCTGAAATATCGTCGGAAGACCCTGGCTGGATTTGCTGGCGGGCCGCCTGACGGCAAGATCCTGGTTGTGGATCTTACCAGCCGCGATATTGGCCTTTGCCCTAGCCTGAATCGTGGGAGGCGTTGGCTGGTTCTCGACTCCTGCTCACTCGCTTTTTCGCTGCAGGACCAACGAATCGAGTCCCGATGAGATGCGGATGTCGCTATACATGCAATATACGCTCTTACGCCTTGTCATCACGTCAGGACTAGGAAGTCGTTCGATCTCTGTGCCCGCCCGCCGTCGTTTTGCTGTTCACGCGCGGCGGAAATGTGTGTCTCAAGCTCCACCGTTTGCGAGAACTGCAATGTTCATTTCGAAAAGTGTGAAGAGGACGACGCGGCCTGGCCTAGCCACGTCGGCGGCGGGTTACAGCCCTGGGGGGCTAGCACCAAAGAAGCCCATCACCGGCGCCGGACCCGTTTTCTGTATGTTTAGTTCAGGTACGGCATCTGGCAGGGCTTGGGAGCAATGTCAGGTGGGAAATAGTCGGGTAGCCAGCCAGTTTACGCGTGCTCTTGCTTGAGGCCTTCCAGGTCCTGTCTGGACACGACAGACCAGTTGGGGTTCAGCCGCTCCTCGGCGCTTGATCTGCTAGGTGCCCCTGGTAGGTTCATCCTTGCATGGGCCTGACATTGGCCGCAGGTCATATCGCCGGCGACGAAGGCAATTGTGAGATGACAGCAAATTCTTGGGCCCATTTGGAGTTTTGCCACGCCGGCCAAGCGGCTCCAGACCAAATTTCGAATCCTGACCGGCACGAATCGCTAGCCTCAATGGTCGTCCGTCTGCAACGCCGTCGACACCCCACTCTTGCCGACATCAAAGCACACCTGCACACACATGGGGGCATGCATCGCGTCAACAGCAAGCCGGCCGGCCCTCGTATTCCTGCCCGTCCCTGCAGCTGCTGCCCATGCCTATCAGACGCCGTACAATTCGTGGCACAACGGCCAAGGCCCGCCATGTCGCCCACCGCCAGACTCCGACCCCCCGGGCAGCGCCTCGCCTGCAGGTGCGTCCTTGGCCTCAGGCGGCTTCGCCTCTGGCCAGGGCCCGGGATTTGGTCAGCTCAGGGTCTTCGGCACCAGATAGCTATCGACTATTACTACTGGCCTCCCACCAGAGGATGATAATCAGCCGCTGTCCGGCTCCCCTTTCGATTCTCGGGCAATCCGATTTCTCGTCTTGGAAGTCAGGTTCTGACCTCTTCCCATCACTCACAACACACGACTGTGTGTATCTACCACCGGACACGACTGGGAGCCGCATTGGATAACCGCAGATCTCGATTATAGAAATTCGAAGATCAGTTAACATGCGGTTAAACACATGCCTTTTTGGCGCCGTGGCCTCACTGGCCGCCGTGGCCAGCGCAGACCCGACGTGGCCTGCGTCTACGGACGAGCTCGAGGAGATTATGTTCCAAGTTACCGGCTACAGGGCACGACAGTTTGGCGGCACCGTCATTCCGTGCAACAACGAGGCCCTCGGTCCTGGCCGTCACGGCCCTGCCGAGTGGATCCGGTCAGCATTCCACGATATAGCCACCACCCGACTGATCTCTGGAACTCGCATTGGCGGCATGGATGGTTCGTTGCAGTTCGAGCTCAACAGCGGCGAGAATGTCGGCCAGGCCTTCCGTGCGACTCTAGACTTCATGAAGGACTACCACACACGCAAGACCAGCATCGCCGACCTGCTCTCCCTGGGCGTGTATTATGCTTCGAGGGCATGCGCCGGCCCTTCTGTGCCCATCCGTGGTGGTCGTATCGACGCCACCGAGGCCTTGGGCGCCGGGTTCATACCGATCCCCCAGGATCAGCCCTCGGGCTTGGAGAACAAGTTTGCCAGAATGGGTTTCAGCCTGCCAGAGGCTGTCGAGTTGACGGCATGTGGCCACACTCTGGGGAGTGTTCGCACGGCCAACTTTCCCACACTTGTTGCACCCGGCGACCCGGTCCTGGACGCCAACGGAGCTGTCGGTGTCGATTCCACACCCACACGCTTCGATAACATGATTGCCGTCGAGTTCGTTGCGAACAACAGCACCAGCCCCTTGGTCCGCGGCACTACCTCGCAAGCCCGACGCACCAACTCCGACTTCAAGTTGTACAACTACGAGCGCAACACCACCATCAGGGCCATGGCCTTGGATGCGCCTACCGACTTCAATGCCCGCTGCTCGCGAGTGTTCCAGAAAATGATTGAGGTCGTGCCTCCCGGCGTTACCCTGACAGATCCCATCACGCCGTACTTCGTCAAGCCAGTCAATCCTCAGCTTACGCTCAACAGCGGTGGGAACTCTTTCCAGCTGACCGGATTTATCCGCATCAGAACGACTGGGCTTTCCGCAGACCCGGTCACTGGTGTCTCTATCACCTACCAAGACCGGAACGGCGGTAACAACTGCGACCCTTTAAGCTGCACATTTACCCTGAACAAGCAAGGCATCACGAACGGCTTCGATGACACTTTCGACGTGAGTTCAAACGACTTCTCATAGGTCATTTCAGGGCCACGGCGGCCTCGTCGACAGTATTGATTGCTAACAGCCATGTAGTGGTACCCTATTACTAGGCAGATTAGCACTGCTGGAGGAATTTCCTCCTTCACGGTGAGGGTCACTAAACGAAGTGGACAAACCCAAATTGTCGACAACAACGGACAAGGCTATCCCTTGCAAGACAAGGCTATTCTGATGCAGCCGCAAAGCTGTTTCCTGTCTTCAGGCGGCCAGTCAGGTCAGCTGATGATCACTGCAGCAGTAAGTCGAGACAACTCCAGGAAATGCCTTTCGTCGAGCCGCAACTAACCCGACCTAGATCCGCAACGACCGTGCCGCCCTCCCGGCTTCAGCATATGTCTCATACCTGCAAGAAACAGGAGATGAGAGATTGCCCGTTCCTCAGCTACGAAACGCCACCGTCACGCTACAGCAGGGCCGATGCGCCGGACTCTACACGATATACACTGGATCACTGACTATCCCGGGCAGCTATGGCTACGCCGCCAAGCTCGACGTGCTGAGCGGTAGTGGCTCCGATGTAGCCAACGACGACTTCAACTCTGTCTCGCTTCTGGGGGCCAACTGCGGCGACTTCACGTACCCTAGGGATAACAGCTGCTCTTCCGATCTGCCTTCGGGCGGAAGCTCGTCGTCTTCTGTCGCCTCTAGCACTTCTACCGGGTCTAGCAGCGTTGGCTCGTCAACAAGCAGCAGCGTCGAATCCTTGACGTCAAGCAGCAGCGTCGTGTCTTCGACATCCAGCAACAGCATCGTATCATCGACGTCAAGCACTTTTGGTTCTTCGACGGCAAGCACCGGCGGAGTATCGAGCACAAGCAGTAGTGTGTCGTCAATAAGCAGCCAGACAGGCGCGTCGACAACAAGTAGCGCCAGCAGCACCTCGAGCTCTGCGGCAGTCGCCTCGCCCTACCACCGTCAAGTCATGGGTGGCTACAAGCTGGTTGGATGCCAGACTGAAGGCAATGGAGTGCGTGCCCTGTCTGCAAGATCGTTCGCGTATGAGGGCATGACTCTTGAGAGTTGCATGGGTAACTGCACCGGATTCAACTATTGGGGTACCGAGTACGGTTCCGAATGTAAGCTACCCTTCGTCCCTGACAACTTCTTTCGAGTGGCGCACTAATCATTGACTCTTTCTGCACAGGCTACTGCGCCAACGAGGTTGCTCCCAGCAGCACCGAGGCCGCCACGGGCGACTGCAATATGCTCTGCTCCGGCGACAAGTCGCAGTTCTGCGGCGCCGGCAACAGGCTCGAGCTCTACTCGACGACATCGGCCGCCACCCCGACGGCGACCCTCGCCCACAAGCCCACAGTCTCGCCTTACACCCGCCTCGGCTGCTACACGGAGCTCGTCAACGCGCGGGCGCTCGACAACGGTGCGTCCGCCGACGCCGAGATGACCAACGAGATGTGCGCGGCGCGCTGCAAGAGCTACGCGTACTTTGCGACGCAGTACGCCAGCGAGTGCTACTGCGGCAGCCAACTCAGTTCAGACTCGAAAAAGGTGGCCGACAGCGAGTGCGGCATGCCGTGCGCAGGCGACCCCT